TGGCAGAACATAATATATAACATACTTAATCTACTATTTTCTGCTGTTTGTGTTTGTCTCTCTAAACCTGTGGTTTCCACCTCCATGTTCATCCCTTCAAATTTCCTCCAAATGTGAGAAAGAAATATTAAAAATGCAGTTATATTAATTTATTATAAGAAAATTGGTTATAGTATGATTGCATTTGTCTTTCTCAGCATTTAAAGTAGCTTAAAAAAGCAAAAGCAATCCTAATCTGCTTTTTAGCTTTAGTTTCTGGAAGCATCTGGAAGACATGATGTTTTATTTGTTTTTGTTGCTGCCTGTAGTGGACCTTCAGTGCGCAGCTCTTATCTTTATATTTATATTTGTCAGTCATATTGGCAGCAGCACCAGAAGCAAGTCAGACATCAAGGCAGGAACTGCTGGAGCAGCTGCAGCAGTGCCAGAAACAGCAGCGTGACGTGAACCTGATGCTTCACACTGTCACTCAAGGTGATTTACATGATCTCAAACACAGTGAACACAGGTGATCCGCCACAGCACTGCATTCACTGCGTGTTTCTGGTTACATTTGTGATATGCTTCACACACAGAGTGGTGAAAGCTGTGGGGCTCCAGTTCTTACAGGGTTTTATCAGACACTTAAATCAGTGTTTCTTCCTCCTATGTGGAGACTCAAGGTGCAGTTTGTGCCCTGAAAAGTGGCTGTGGTGGATGGGACGTTGCTACTTCTTCTCAGTCGGACTGCAGGAAAATCGGCAATGGAATGAGAGCGCCGAGTTCTGCCGGCAGCACAACAGCAGCCTGGTTGTAATCGAAGACTCTGCAGAGATGGTAAACGCACCATGCACAAGTCATGTGAATCACACACACTTACAGTTCTGAAGTTGTACGTATCAGAACCACTTTAAGCTGCTGAGGACGTTCGGCCCACTCTACTTCACAGCGTCGCTTCAGTTCGTTGAGATTTGCAAGCCTTTTTTATACACAGCTTAAAAATCAGGTTGGGCTATGACCGGGTCATTGCAACACCTTGATTCTTTCCTTTTTCAGTGTTCTGTTGTAGATTTGCTGCTGTGCCTGTGTCCTGTTGCATGACCCAATTTAGTTTTATTGTCACACAAGTGGCCTCAAATTTGACTTTTGAATACTTTGGTGGGAGTTCATGGTTGACCCAGTGACTGCAGGGACCCCAGGTCACGTGGCTGCGAAACAAGCCCAAATCATTACCCCTCCTCCACGTGCACTTTGTTCAGATGCAATCCCTTCCAAACAAGGCACGCTTGTTCCATCTTTTTCTAATTGTATGTCATAAATATTTACATTTAACACGCTAACTGAGGCTTCAGTTAGCATAAAAAGAAGTTTAAACTCCCCCCCCCCCAAAAAAAACCCCCAAAACAAACAAATTGCTAAACTAAAAGTTGGAACTTTGCTAAGGACTCCCACAAGACATTCCCAGATGTATCCCGCAGCTTCTGCCCACCTCGACTTTCAGTCACCCCAGCTTGTGCTATGGACCACTGATGAAATGTGGGCTTTCTTTAAGTAACCAATGCATAATGGCCCAACCTGGGTGGATGTCAGCTTTCTGTACCAGCACTTGTTTTATTCATAGTAACAAACATAAATAAAATGGTAAAATTTCTGGCAGAAAATTAATCAGGGTTGTCAAACATACTGCCTGGGGGCCACAATCAGCCCGCCAAAGACTCAAGCCCATTGGATGGCTTTGGAAAACGTCAAGAAAGGCATAGATATTATACATTTTATACTTTTTTTAACAGTTTTTACAGCATTTTCTACTAATAAAATCCCCAGAAGTCATTCATACTACACTAAAGTTAATTAAGTAACAAGTGAACATTTAAATGACAAAAAGTTGAAAATGTTGTGCTATCTACAACAGAAATTTCTATGTTTTACAGCAAGTCCGCGCAGTTAAAAAAAAAGAAAGAAAGAAAAGAAAAAAGCAAATACACTTTTTATTATTACAGGACAGTCTGGGACAGTTTCTTTTTTCTTTCAATTTACACATTTATTACTTACAATTTAGTCTTAAACAGTCGTGCTGACAAATTTCTTGCATTTAACATAGAAACATTTCTTTATTGTGTAGAAAAACTCAGACATGCTGTTGAAAAAAAGACTTTTTCATAAGAAGTTGACTGAGGGATTAATCTTCTTACAGAAAGGGGCGTGTCACTGCTCTGGCTCACTTCAGTGGGCTGTGTGTGGTCGGTGATGATATCCCTGCTCTAAATGTTGCTTCCACCACAGGATTTCATCCAAGGAGTGATGAGGAACTTCTCCCAGGTTCCTTTCCTGTGGGTGGGACTGACAGATGCCAAGCAGGAGGGTCAGTGGCTGTGGGGCGATGGGAGGGCAGTCCAGCACTACATGCAGTAAGTCATATCACAACAACAAAATAAAAATAATAAAATAATGCGGTATAATTAAGGAACTCATTTTGGAAGAATTAGAAATAAAAGTGCAAGGAGTAAAATATATAAAAAAGAATAATATATCAAATATTAAGTCTTCCTATTAAAAACTGGAGTTGCAGAACACTTTTGCCTGCTGCAGCGATTGCAAATGCAAAACAGTCATAGTTATTTGCACTGAGGGAGTAACAGGCAGCAGGGTCTGATTGCCTGTGGGTTAGAAGCTGCTGGAGGCTTTTTGTCTGACTGCAGAGTCCTCTAGAGGCGGGAGTAGAAAATGTCGGTGGGCTGTGTCGGCCCTCCCGATGACCGTGGTAGTGTAAATGCACTGATGAGAAGGCTGTTCCTGAGGTACACTGTGCACATTTATCTTTGTAAAAAGAAACAAACAAAAAAACTGTACAGTACAGTGTCAATAACTCCAGAAATGTCTCTCAGAATATAATAAATATTAGTAGGATGCTGCTTGTTTTAGCCACTAAAACGTTTTTATTAAATGAAAAGTGATCTCTTTATCTAATGTGTAGGCAAATACAAACAGAACACAATCAAAAAATGAAAACAAACAGAAACATTTAAGGTTAAGTTGATCTTTATTACAATATTATAACAAACAATATACACGTATACATGACACACATATCCAAAGGCAAACACACACAAAATGACATCAACTTGACTGTATGTAACGTGACCATATGTGACTGTACATATGTTTATTTATGTAACATATTTACAGTTTATATTTTTTTTAATGAGGTTTATTGTCATGTACTGCTTTAAACATTGAGTTTTCACTCCCACTGTGTGTTTCAAAGGGTGATGGTGGAGTGGGATTCTGATCACAGGGACTGCGCAGACCTGAGGGGAGGCGCGAGTCTGTTCGCCGCTGACTGTGAAGAGTACGGACCGTGGGCTTGCAAGAAGGAGTACTGACACACAATTACAATTTATTTTACACACAGTTTACTTCCAATGTCAATTTGGCACGATACAAAAGGTAAACAAAAAGCTGTTTACAACTCTAAAATCTATGAATCTTAGGAAAAGAAGCCAAAAGGGATAGGAATACAAGACGTTAAGTCAGCTATATAAAACATTTATTGCCATCTGAAAGTGCATTATAAAGTGCATTCATGTACAAAGAGGCAAAATGTCGAAAAAATAAGCAACATGTTGTTGCCTTCAGTTTTGGACAGAGTTAGCTTATTCTTTAAATTGCAGGTTTTAAAAATAAATCTTTCTACTTCTATTTACCCATTTCTGCAGTTGCTGTTTGTAGCTGCAACATCGGAATTGTCCTGAAATGTATTTGCTATATTTAGCACGCTATGACTGAAAATATCAATAAAGTCTTCCTGCTGTTTACATCATTAGCATTGTAGCTTATAGCTTTTTTTTAAAGCTCAGTTGTTGAGCTAAAGTTTTAAATATTTTAAATTCTTTTTTTTTCTTTTTTTTAGGTTAATATTTAAGATAAACTTAGCAAAATTAAGTTTTAACCATTTTGTTTTGAAAGTGAGAACACGCACTTTTAATTTCAATAATGACCTACTTTTATACTTTTAATGCATAATCTGGGTTTTTCTTTTCTTTACAACCGTGTGAGGTCTGAGCAGCTATGACAACAGTCAACCCTAACCCTATGTACGCTTAGGAAAAATACAAGAAGCAATTGTTTTGACACATCTCAGAGTGATTTTTGTCCCCCTGGTTGCCAAGAAAAGACACTTTTTTTAAAGCCAAAAAAAGGCACAGAGAGTCAGAATTATCACCGATTATGGACTTAGACCTCACAGGTGGAGTCAAATTAAAGTCCAGTGAGATTTTCTGTCTCTCATTTCCCTGAGCTGTTGTTTGGCGGGATGATCGTCATGAGTGTGCGTCCATCCAGTGGGGCGAACAGAGGGTGCAGTTTCTCTCTAAAGGTTCCAGTGAAGGTGTAGATGTGAGACTTGGTTTCAGCGTTGTAGAAGGAGATCTGCCCTTCTTCGTAGTCCAAGTAGACCCCCATGCGCCTGGGTACGAGGCTGAGGGGGAGCTCCTTTTCTGGCTTGCTGCAGGCGTAGAATTTGTGCGTGCTGCGCCACAGCACCCAGTAGCCCTTCTTTGGCATCATGGTGAACTTCCCGTGCCGCTCAGAGTCAGCGGTGGTCACGCCCACGCGCCAATAACCGTTATTGGCTATGTTCACCTCCCAGTAATGGCGGCCGCTGCTGAAGCCCTCCCTGCCGAGCACACAGGGCCATTCGTCGAAGCGCTGGGAGCTTTGAGGCTGCTCTGACACTACAGAGGACTCCTGGACTTTACGCTGGTCATCTGAGAGAAGCAGCCATGGGTGGTTGGTCATGGGGTCAAGAATCACATCAGCTGTTGGGAGAAAGGAAATCAAATTGCTAATTAAACCACATGTTCTTTGGTGTTTGTTGGTTGATTTATGGGATGGAGATAAAGCTGAGGCCGTTGTTACCTGCTGCGCTGCAGATCCACCCCCAAACTGAAAACACAGATGAAGAGTTTTATTATAGTTGCAGAAGAGATGAGTTTGGCTCTTAAAATAGTCCCCTCCACAAATTGTTCTGAGCATCGGAATCATTATTCATAATAAAAGCTAAAGAAAAATCCCAAGGTTTTTTTTGGTGCAAATTTTAAAATACACACCTGAGTTGGGGATGTATCGAGGAATTCCTGCTTCCCAGGACTTTTGCTTTGCCAGGAGCCACAACTGTGGGACGATTTTCTGATAAGGAAAAACATAAAAATGAAACTCATACTAACTTTATATTCCTTTGCTTTCTATTTCCTTAAGACTGACTAACCTATGCCATGCTTAGTCACTGCATACATAATTCAGTAGGTACTCATAAATTTAGGTCCAGATAAAACTCAATTACAGCCTCAAAGGTCACGGCTCTGCACAAAAAACTGCAAGTAGTAGTGACAGGTGAAATCAGAGTCAATCAGAGCTGTGATAAAACAGCACGCCATCACCTATAAATGTGATGGCGTGCTGCAGTTTATCTGCAGACTGCCCCGTCGTTCACGGGGGACATTGACACGCGTGCTATCAGAGCAGAGCCCGATTAGGGTCGTTAAACTGAATCACTGAGATCTTTCATTGATAGATGCGGGCAATGAAGGTGCAGAGTTCACTTGGATCACACATGGCATAAAGCTGTTACACAACCTGGCCACGACTGCCCTTCGTGACATTCGAAATGAACAACTGGTTTATTGCACACTGGTTTATTTGTGTGCTATCAAACCTCTAAGATATTTATCTTTCACTTCAAACTTACATCTTGCCATCATCCTCATCTCATTTTCAAATTTATGCCAGAGTTTCTGCATTAACTTGAATTGTTTTAAGGATGTTTTCAAGGGCTGATTCAGTAGAAATGCAGAGGTTTCTCACCGTGCTTCCTTCCTTGAGCAGCGACCAGGTGATGAACTCCAACAGAGGCATCAGCCTGATCAGCCGGTTCTTCTTCAGAGTCAGCACACGCAGCACCTTCCCCAGCTCATCGCTCTGAACGCCACAACGCTGCAACACAAACAAACGCTTGAGATTTGCCTCCATTTACTTTGAAAAGCGTGACACCAACCAAAACTTAAACGACATAAAAGTAAAACACATTTGAAGTTAGTTGTCTGGTTAGTGACCCCCTGCTCACCTCGCTCGCCTCCTGCAGCTCCTTTGCCCACTCCATGATCCTCATGTGTGCCACCTCACTGGCATCCTTGTCTTTAGTTTCGTGTTCGTGACTGTCAGATAGCCAGGGAGTCTCCTTCAGGAGCTTTAAGGACATTGAATTAATCACGACATTGTTAGATTTTAACAGTTTTCGTTTCACCTTGCATATCAAAATAGGATTTTCAATTTAATTCAATTCAGTTTTATTTGAAGGGTCAATCTGATCTGGTCTGATCTCACATCAGCGTCTGTAAATACTGACCCTGTCAACATCGCGGAGCTCATCGGCCCACTGCAGGATTAGCTTCCTGCTCTCCTCGAGACTGCGTTCGGCGCGCCCCTGTGAACGCTGGGCGTCCTTCGTGGTGCCTTCTCCTGGATCCAGAGCTTCCTGCTAAAAGACATCACACTGTGTCAGGTGGTATGTCACACCATGAAACTACAGAAAGATACAGGAAGATTATATCGGATTGTATATCTTAGGTAACGCCCATCCTACATATGCTATAAGGTGAAGGGTGTGAGCTATAAAGAGTTAATGAATAGCTGCGCTATCAGCATCCATACAGTCAGTGCTGTTGTGTGATGGAGTTCCTGCATACAATAAATATTTTGTTATTGTGATCTTTATCTGGTCTGTGCACTCTTAAATCTGGCTATACTAAGAGTCTGCCAGTTTCTACCTTGCACACTTGATCCACCTGTTCCTTCCACTGCTGGATAAACTGCACGCACTCCTGCAGGCTGCGGAGATCTTTCAGGCCGTTTTGGCGAGTTTGTTGCTGCAGGAGACAGAGGTGGTCACAAATAGGCCAAACAGACACTGACCAACTGAAGAGAAAAAGCTGTTTGAAGCATGTGGTTTACCTGTGACTGTTTATTGAGGCTGTTGGTGGGCCTGCTGGGGACCGAGCTGTGAGGCTGGCTGCTTTCATCATGGGTGGGCAGGTTCCAGCGTACGGCCCCGATGGAACTGCTCTGGGTGGCGCTGCCGTCCTCCCCAGAGAGCAGCATGCTCACCTCTGCAGGGGTAAAAAAAAAAGAAGCTCTTTTAAGTCTCAGTTAATGTCATGCTGCTTTTCCAAACTAAGAAAAGCAGCAGGAAATACAAGCTTTAGATAAAAGCTTTCCAGCAGAGGCTGTGTAAA